CACACACACACACACACACACACACACACACACACACACACACATACACACATACACACGCACACACAAACACATAGACAATCCCGTGACAATATGCATTTTATGCAGCTGTTGCACAGCACAAAATGCGCGCCAAAAAAAAAACATTCCGTCCTGCCAAGCCAGGCTACTGCGAACAAATGCAAATGAACTCAGAGACATGAGGGAAAAGTAGTGTGCTTGATGTAGAAGACCTAGGCTGATTTTGTCGAGTTTGCCGGATTGTCGGAAATATTTAGATGTTACGCCCGTCTGCTTAATACAGTGACAAGCAGTCTACATTGCTTCCAAACTGTGACCGATGGTTCAGTGGCTTCAGCACAGAATCAACTGCCACAGTTCGATTAAAAGGTGAACTGGTAATGGCACATGCACGAGGGTCACAATCGTTTTATGTTTGCACCTTTAGAAAAGACCCACTCAGTAGATTTGTCACTGTCTATCACTCCGGCAACTTCCCAGAGCTTCATCACTCATGTAAAAGTGAAATATGGAGTGAGAACTGGCTTTCACACCCTGGCTTCCAAACATTTTCGGCTTAGACTTCGCTTTACTGTAAAAGCAGAAAATGAATTGCTGAGTAAAAAGTTTGCTGGAAACTGAAGTTTACTCATACAACAAAGTGGGGAAGATGCACCAGGAGGAGGAGTTAATACAAACTGACAAAAATGGAAGCGGGAGAGAAGAGGGAAAAAACGGAGCCCACCAAAATTTCCAGATTTTGGAGATTTACCAGAAAAAAAAATTGATTTAAATGGAACGAATGTACAAAAAGAGCCAACATACTGGGAGAATCCGGAGGGAACAGCAGACGGTTGTTGTAATTATCACGTATGGTTCGCACAAGCGATTTATCCTCCACCAGTCGGCTGCAGGATATTTCTTGCGAGATAATTTCCAGGAGTTCGGAGACGCAGTGGTCGGTCACTTTGTTAATATTCAAATACCATGAAGTTGAGCCACTTCCTAACAAAATCCAGTTTTGTTAGAAAATTATCTCACAGCCAAAAAAAATGTTCCACAAGTTTTTCCATAAATTAAAAAGCAGCACTCACTAAAAAGCTATATTACAGTAATAATTTTTTACATGAACAATGCAGCAAATTCACCATCAGATAGGGAAAGACCGCTGTCCAAAATGATGTGCAATAACAACCTGGCACCTGCGAAAAAATAACTGATTACACAAGAAGTTTTCAATGAAGCTGTGCATATAGATCGGGCAGTAGAATCCAACCGGAGGCATGCAATTTAGAAATGATATGAGCCTGGCACAGCTGAGTCCGGCGAACGGGAACAGCTTGGATTGCAACCAAGATAACTCAGGGACATTTTCTCTAGGAATTTAACTTCGGCTGGGTGTTTTTTCCCCAAGGCTAGCCCCATTTAGCTGGAATTCACACTTATCTAATCTAAACTCTCCTACATTTTCCCTCGCAAACAGTTTTGACACTTATTACCAGAGCAAAACGAAGCTGTCCCCTCAGAGATATTTGAATTAGTAATTTTACTCTTTCAGGCCTACCTTTACGGTTTCTGCAAATAACAGCATATAACTGTAATCAAAGAAACAGGAAAATCGGACCTGAAAAAATCGAACCTGTACATACGATCACACCACTGCTCTTTTGCTTTACCATTTCGCCGTCATCGCACTGAATTTCATAATATGAAACACGAGAGGATAAGTTTTCCCCAATGAAAACATCGTTGAGAGCTGGATCCGGCAAAATATTCACATAGCTCTTCGTGCTGCTTTTTTTTCTCGGCGTCACTGTATTCCTGAAAATATGAGAAATGAATTATGAAAAGTGAAAGTTGGCCTTTGTGTCAACCAGCCATACGTTATTAAGCTTCTCGATCAGGAGAACTGAAAAAAAGGCCATTGGTATGCGTTGAAACCAACAGTGATGAAATGGTTGTCCGAGTGATTCCGAAATTACAGAAGACAGAGGATGTGAACTCAGCGATGTTCTACTGATCGCTGGGAAATGAGCATGTGGCAACAAAACAATAGGAATGAAACGCATTATTAATAACTAGCCAGGATAGTCGGTGCGACCAAGCGTTTTACGCAGTTTTGCCCAGCGTACCTCATAAGGAATTTCACTGTTTTACATTTTAGTCCATGAAGAAGTAGGCGATATGCTGTTTTATTCCTGAGCTGCGAAATTTCCCACAAAAAATTTCACGTGCCAGTATGTGGGACTCAAACACACGTGAAAGTTGAATCTGAAACCATAAACGGTGAACACTGTCCCAAAATTCGGAACTCTCAGTTCTCTGAATTACAAGTAACTTTCGCGCCAAAACTTTCACTTGGCAGTATGTGAGGCAGTATGTGAGGCCTCGTCATACCTGGCAGTTAATTTTGAATTTGTTAGACCACTGCATAAGCAGAAAACACTGTTCTGAAATTTTCAGCCTCCAAACTCCTCTTGCCCTGAAATAATTTTTCCCGCCAAAACTTTCGCAGAACCGTATGTGGAACCTAAGCTTACGTGAAAATTGAATTCGGATCTGCAAGGGTTGTATGTGGGTAGGGGACATAACCCTAATTCTCAGCTTCCTAGCTTTTGTAATTTGTAAGTAAAAAGTTGCGGACAATTTGCATCGGACACACATACATACATACACATACACAGACAACCCCGTGTCAATATGAGCTTTGTGCAGCTGCTGCACAGCCCAAAAACGCATAAAAAATCAGCAGCTGCACAAATGAAGAACTGGACCATAAATTACAGTTGGTTCAAATATCAAAATAAATACGACAAAAAGACCGTATTAAAAAAAAATGAAAAAGGCGTAAAACCAAACTGGTTGTGTAATCGTAAACGAATCAGGTCATCGTGCAAATCAATTGGCTCAATGTCTCCAACATCTCCTTCTAAACGAATGCGTATGCGCTGCCGAAACATCCAGCTAAAACTGATAGAAAAACATAATGTGCAAACATGATGTTGCGGATGTTTACGAAAAGCCGGCCAACGCTGAGGAAGAAAAACATAAGCTACTTGTGACTGCCGAAGATAAAGGTAAAAACGAAACAGAGCGCATAATGTTAATTGGTCCAAGAGAAAGATGTGAAAAGCAACAGCCGGTAATATAATGGATAATAAATCATGATTCGAAGACGCAACGCACAGAAGAGGGCCGCAGGGCCTGCGTGGCTGTAGGGGGTACAGCTGCGGGGAGCACTCGCCCAAATTCAGTAAACAACGCTTTATTAAAACCAGCGCAAAAAAATCTCATAAATTCCGAAAGGCCTGGCAGCAGCACCAAGCTGCCGCCGCACAGTAACTTGTCCCACAAAAACAATCCCCATTTCATTTCTAATAATATCATTACATACCACGGGGATGGGGACTCGAATCAGGAGACGGGACATTTGCATGGAATTGAAGAGGAATTGGGCAAGGCGAAAGGGTCTAGCCGGCAGCTTCGTTTCCTTGTTGTTAACATCCTGTTTCTTTTACAGTAGAAGCATAAACAACGAAGATGAGCAGTACGTATTCTTCTAGGTTGCAATCATTGCAAAAAC